GGGCGGGTGGGTGGGTGCGCTGCCACTCGCTGCCTCTCTGGGCCCTTTGCAGAACCAGAAGCTGCTTCTGGAAAACCAGCTCCTGCGGGAGAAGACATGCAGCCTTTCTCTGGAGAACCGGGAGCTTCGCTGCCGCTTGGGTTTGGATGTGCTGAAGACAGAGAACGAGAGCGAGTCCAAGGTGAGCTTTCTGCAGTTCCTCTGCTTCGTGGCAGGTCTTGTCGAGTTCTGCGCTGCTCCGCAAGGTAACAGCAGTGGGCAGAGGGAACAGAAGGTCCCTCAGTGCCGCAAGCTCTCTAGCAGCACCGGATGTGTCCTGAGGGAGACTTCACGTGCCAGAAAGACCCTTGCTGTCCTCCTAGTGGAGGCTTTCCCGCAGACTGAACAGGAGCCGATTTTGAAGTGGGTACCACTGGCAGTGTGGCAGATGGCAAGCTAATTAGTTCTAATTCACTTAAATAATCTCCTCTTCTACTTTCTGCTCCGGAAGTAAAGTAATACCTCTTATGATGTTGTCTTTCTGCCTCAGAAGAGAAGAAGGGATGGTGGGAGGTCAGGCTGTCACTTAGAAGGGGTGTATCTGCAAATACCCAAGGAAATGTCTGGAAGTTTGAGCCAACTTCTGAAATGGTTTTATTTCTTCTGGCACCTATTCCTGCACAAGCAAGTAGAGATTCTAGTATTGGAAGCCTTTGCAGTAAGAGCGTGATCTTCAGGAGGCTGTACTGTGAGCCAGAACATCTGTGGTGACTGACTGGGCTTCTTGTTTGGGACAGGTTGTGAAGGAATCTCAGGTGGATGAGATCAAGTTGGTGACCGGGTCCGCTGAGTCCGCAGCACTCAGACTACGTGTTCCTCTGCAGCAGGTGCAGGCCCAGCAGTCACCAGTTCTGACAGCTTCCACATGGATTCTGATGGCAATGACTCTTCAGACTCTGAGGTGAGCATCCATTCCTGTCTGAAATGCCCGTGAACTTGAAAACTACTGTGGATTTCTAGGCAGAAGGAATTTAGTTTTAACACTGACTCTGTGTGAAGTCTCTTGATGGCTTATCATAGTTAGTCTCTTTTTTTTTTTTCCCCCCCTCAAGTTTTGGAACGCCTTACATGTGGTTCAAGACAGCTAGGGAAGTCTATCTAGTGAGTACAGCAGAAGTTCTTGCAGCTTAAGCTCCTGTTTCCATAAAATCTTACAGAGATTTTTTGCTCTTGCAGCAAAAATGTACAAATATGAAAGCATACTGTGCCTTTACTGTTGCAGACAAAGTTGAGTATTCTGATGCTGATGTACTGGGGCTTTGCAAAGCTGTTAGTACTTAAACTGTCCCATATTACTGATGTTCAGGAAACTTTTAGGACGGGCCATTCAAAGCTCAGATGGCTTTGATCTAAAGTAAACCTTTGGTTGTGGGCAAATCTGCCTAAGCTAGTTTCTGGCACTTACTCTGCAGCATCAGCACGTGGAGCGTGATGTTTGTACATGATGGGTCCAAGATCTTGAGCAGCTTCTAATAAAGGTTTTGAGTATCAAACACCTGAGGACTTCTGTGAGGATCTCCAGAAGCCTTACAAAAGAGTTAATGGACTGAGAAGGTCTGAAAGATAGGTAATTGCGATAAATTTTTTTCTGATAGCAGTCGTCTTGGTAAACTCTTAGTTTTCTGCTCATGTTAGCATACCTTAACTTCCAGGTAAGGGTGGATAGGTGCCGAAAACAGATGTTTTCCTGTAGCAGTAGGAAGCTGTTTTTCTAAAAACAGTATTTCATTCCACAGTCTGATCTCCTGTTGGGCTTTCTGGACAGTTTGGACCCAGAGATGTTTCTCAAATATGCCGATTCAGAGTCAGCGTGCCTGGAAAAGCTGGAGGAAGAGATCTGCAGAGAAACAAATTCCATACCAGCCTCCCCCTCTCCCTCTTTGGGGTCCCCATCAGCTAAGTTGGAGGCCATTAATGAACTCATAAGGTTTGATCATGTATACACCAAGCCCCTAATCTTGGAGATTCCTGTTAAAATGGGCAACCAAACCAATATGCTAGTGAAAATAGAGGAAGTATCTCTCTCTCAATCTGAAGATAAAGCTATCCCTGAGACCCCAGTATCTGTGAAGGAGGAACCTGTAGACAGCTTCATGCCTGAACTGGGCATCTCTCATCTGCTTTCCTCTCATCACGGCCTTGCAGCCTCAAGCTATCTGTTGGATGCCTGTAGTGACTCTGGATATGAAGGATCCCCATCACCCTTCAGTGACATGTCCTCTCCACTTGACACTGACCATGCTTGGGAGGATTTTTTTGCCAATGAACTCTTTTCCCAGTTGATCAGTGTCTGACTTGGTAGTGTTAACTCTCCTTGGATAACTATACCGGTAGGATAACAGGACATTCCCCTTCTAGGGAGGGGGAGGGAGAAGCAAGTTTCTTCAGAAAAAAGTGTTGCTCACTTCTCCCCCGAATGCTAGTAGTGATGGCCAATGCATTTCTCCTGGGATGAGACAAGTAAATTCTCTTCTTCCCCCTGCCCCAAAGGCAAAATGAACGTTGCCTAATGAGGAAGGAAATTTGTTCTCTCAGTAACTTGCCAGTTCTGGAGGAACCTGAAAATTGGAACCTTGTTGATGCTTAAAAGCGAGATTTCTAATACCAAAAGCTTTGGGATGTTTGTGTAGACAGCTGGGTTAAAACTAAATAGGCTGTGTATCTTACAGATTTATTATGTTAATGCTTGTTTTCCATTTGCTATGTAGAGTTGCTTTCTCCATTTTAATATTTAAATGTACCTGTGCAATTAAAGTGCAATGCAGCTCATGATTCATTTTTGCCTTGGGCCTCATGGGGAGGGGAGAGTATCTGGGGCTTGCAGCGTGTGAAACTCTGTCGAAGATTGGGTCTTTCAGGGGCTGGTCCTTATACCATGTTGATGCAGTGTAAATCCAGCAGCATTTACATGCTGCATGATTGTAGCTGGATGCTTTAGCAGCCTTTGCGAGCACTCACTTGATGCTGCAAACTCTGTGCTCAAAGTAGAATGGAGTCGTATGATGGACGGCCAGTGCTGCTATGGCAAAATCTGCCAGAATAAGGATTGCAGGTGGCAGGAGCTTGAGATGTCTGAATAAAACTACTGCAACAGCTTTCTGTTGGCAATTAACGTGACTTTCAAAACACTGCAGAACAGTCCGACTGACGGTCAATGTATTTCTAGCGTTTCTGAAGCAGAGTGAGGTGCTTACATTTATGGAGTGAAAAATTGCAGATTCTGCGTTACCACAGGACTTGCTGAAGTATAAAACTAATTTTGCAGGGACTAATTTCAAATACCACAGCATGACTAAAAGCAGTTTCATTGCCCTCATCCACTTGCAACAATACAGTACTAAAAATACTTGCATTGGAGAGACGAGGGGAAGAAACTGAAATTCTGTACTCAGTATTACTGAGAGCTGGTCCAGGTGTTTGTACAAGCTGGTGTGTTGTTTTTGGTTTCAGTGCTACTTCATGTCTTGCATTAAACTTTGACAAAAATAATTTTAACTGGGAGGATATTGGTCACCGAGTTTTGAGGTGACAAGACTTCAGATTGCAAATTTGACTAATCTAGTATGCTGTAATTAAACATTTATTGCTATCTGATATTCAGATAAAAACTATAGCTGTGCAATGTAGCAGAAACTTGGAAGAAAAAGCAAGCTAAACTTTTTTGCAGCATCTGAAAATGGAAGTAATTGGGTAGGTAGCTGGTCTTGGCCTAGTGTTGCAGAGTCTGGCAATAGGTTGCTACCTTTGTACACTGCAAAATAGAGATGACTGAAAGAGGATCCTGTATCTTGTTGCGAATCTGAAAAGCAATGGGCAAGTGACAGTGTGATTCATAATTTTGCATGACTTCTGTCAGTGCTATTGGAAATCCATATAAAATTCAAAAATGAACTTAAGTACAGTGAAAATCATGTTTTGGTGATGTAAAGAGAAACAATCTATCTCCCTCGCTTCCTTAAAACAGTACTCAGCATTCCCTAGCCTGGAAGTCTAAAACATTAGTTTACAGTTAGTTTTAATATTCTTTAATATTAGAAAGTAACACCTGTAAAAGGATTGAGATTTCACGGAATTTTCTCTGAGCTACAGGAAGGACAAGATCCAGCACAATGGAGGTGTGCAACTCATTCCACTGCTCTTGTGGCCATATTTCCTGTTCTCCTGCAGGCAACACCTGGCCTTTGAAAGGCAGTACAGAAACAGACTAAACATAGTAATTGATGTAGCTGTGTGTCTGCTCAGTGCTGCACTTTACTTCTAGGCAGTATGTGTGTTCTTGTGAATTCAGTGTCTGAGAAAGCAAAGTGTGGTCGTGATTCACTGTAGATGTAGCCTGTTCCTATGTGAGGCTCTTTTTTCTTCCCCAGGAGCAGATCCCCAGTTTTAGGTAAGGGTTTTTGGTGACAGACAGTATTTCACTTAAAATAGCTCAGGTTACTAAGGATGTGTCTCAGTCCAGGTTCACTCATTAGCATTGGCATTGCATTTTCCATCTACAGGGACTGATATAACTAAAACAAACACTTTCAGTAGCCACTGAAAGTATGGCCTTTGCCAAAAGAAGTGACTATAATGAAATCAACTATATTTAATAAAGTTAATATTTTAGCTGCCTGAACAACTTTTAATCTTTCTCTTCCCTCTTGTGTTGTATTTGGGAGTAGTGTGAACATGGATAAGAGGGCTTGCCCTATACCATGGGATGATTTAAATACAGCCTCTACTGTAAAAGTAAAGGGCAAGGCTTCAGTTTTGTTGTTTTTTGATTAGGTGGGTGGGGTTTTAAAATTTTGTTTAGTTTTAACATAGTTCATGCAGCCAGAAATGGCAGAAAGGCTGCTATTTTCTGCCTTCTGCCAAAACTGTCTCCAGGATGTACCACTTGCATCTCTCTAGCTAGTGTAGGTGCCTGTAATCACTATCCAGCCTTGCATCAAGGCTAGACTGATCCAGTTCAGCCACTGCAGCACCATTTGTGCCACGCATTGAATGAATTGTAAAAGGTCATACAAGATTAAGTGAACTAAATAATCCTCAATACTTTCTACTGAGAGTTGCTTCAATACCCTGATTTCCTAGTAATTTCCCAGCTGTGACTTACAAATTAAAATGCTGCAAACACTGCCATCAAGTGCCCATTTGCAGTATTTGCATGCTTCACAGGCATGAACATACATTGTCTGCTTTCAGTGGCATGTTCTTTCACTTACTTTACAGATGAAAACGTTTTATGTCTCTATGAGCAATAAACATTTTAAACAGATCTAAAAAAATTCAAAGAACAGTTCCGTTATGGTTATAGTCCCATCGTATTTGGAACGTGGACTTTCCTCTTAATAAGGTATGCCTGTGACCCTATTAAGCACAGTAGATGAAAAATTCAACTAAGTGTTATTTACACCTCTTTAGTTCCCTTTTTGAAGTTTACAGCCACACATATTCCCTGGCATGCTTTATCAAGAATTACTGTCCCTACAGGTTCCAATGTAAATTTCAATTGCAAGCTGTTTTCTTATACTAAGACCACTCCCATTAAAAGCACACAGATATTTATTTCTTCAGAGGAGTTAGGCATTTGGAAGACTAATGGAATTCAGAATTTCCATTAGCACTAATATTTTTTACTGGAGTCAAGCCAGCTTAGGAGCTAAGGCACCACAAGGTTTTATGCATTTAGATAGTGCATCAACATCCATAGATTAACGTGTGAGAATTTATAGTGGCAGCAGATGGTCTTTATTTGAGATTTTCCTGTGGATGAAAGAAGCTAAGTTAAATTAAACCTGAAGAGAGAGAGAGAGAGAGAGAGAGAGAGTGTGCGCGTGTGTGTGTGTGAAAGAAGCTAAGTTAAATTAAACCTGAAGAGAGAGAGAGAGAGAGAGTGTGTGTGTGTGTGTGTGGGAGGAATAGGGGAGAGTAATACGTGCTTTGAGGGACTTTTGAGGGATATCATCTTTACAGCATGCTCCCGTAAGATGACTACTTTCCAATTGCTCTAAATTGATTTTTGGAGTCCCATGTTCTACTGAGATACAAGTCCACTTGTATTACAGCAAGCACAGATCCATACCTGGCACACATCTATGTTACATCTGCAGTTGATTACAAACTATCTGCGATGGAAACCACACATCTGCCATAGCAAACTGTCGCAAGACACGAGCTTTAAAGCAATTGCAAGTCCAGCTCCCAGTCCATGCCAAAATAAATTCTGTCCACAGGGTTGGCTCTGTAACTGAAATACTTCTCCCATCTCCACAATTTGACAGCCGCATTCTCATGAGATTCTCAGCCAGCCAAGAGCACCTTACACAATCCTAAATGGGTTGGTTTTTACACTATTTTTTTCTCTCTCCTGCTCCCTGCATTGGAGAATTAAGTCACCTTTAAGTCTACAATACAATTTAAGTGAGTCAGTGTTTGACTCTGCCTGGAAACCTCTCTTCTTGTTGTTTTTTTTAGAAATAAATCTGATGTGCGATTTCCCTCATTTTGAAAGCAAAGGTAGTACTGATCTGGCATACACTTTTATATAGCCTGTCAACTGCTTCAAAAACTTGAACTGAAGATGTTAAAAGAAGGGCAAAGCATTATATTCCAATAAATCAACCTAATTAACATTTTGATTTGTTTTAAAACTCTCCTCATTCAAAGATTTCTTGGTTTTAGATGGAGCTAGCCAAGTCAGGCGTTCCTAATTTTAGTCTGAGGTGAAAGGCAAGATCTGAAAACAAAAGCTATAGCAACACCTCTTGGTGTCCCTTTGCTTTGCCAGAAGCCCTCAGGTCATGACACACCTGCAGCCACTCTTCCCTGCCTGCAGCTTCAGGTTTATTTCTACCCTGCTGTTGAGGAAAGTGACATGTCCTTGGGAATATGTGGTTAAATTTAAAGCTTTTCTAGGTCAGAGGCCAGAACAGTATTTGACCATCCAGTAAAAGGACCGGACATACACTCTCAATCTTTGTCTTCACATCCATTAAGAATGAAACACAGCCGTCTAAAAAATATTCTAAAAAATTTATTGAAAACTGACATACAAAGGGTCATTTGGTCCCAAGAGAAAACAGACCAGGATCAGATCTTCTGTATTTAAAAATAAAGGATAAAGATTTTCCTAATACTGCATCACATGTGCCATCTTTCTTGTAAACAGAATTAATAAAAATCTTGTAAGGAAGCCAACAACAAATGGAACTGTCGCAAATACCAAAGTTAGTTTGAAATGACTCAGTAGCCTTCCCTCCCTTATACTCTCCAAGTCATTGCTAGAGCAAAAAATGTGCTCAGTCCTCCTAGATAACTATTCCTACCTATACTCTTCTACCCTCCCCCAATCAATTTAAGAGATTCAGCTGTTCTCTTCTAAAACAGGAACACGAATTATGAAAGATTCGAAATAAATGCCTGCTACTAAAGCAAACTTCTTAAGACAATTTTTTCCCCATCTCATGGTCTTTGTCAGTAGTTCACTGCTAAGTTCTTGTTTCAGAGGGCAGAACGACAGGGGTCAGTGATTCTGTATTAGCATCAAAGGATTAAAAGAAGAAATACACGTCTGAAAGTCAACCTTTAGTACAAAACAGAACAGGAAAAAGTCATTTTTAGAAGACGTCTACATAAATTTCTTCTCCTGCAATTGAAGCAATTTGTCATTTAACATTTTAAAAGGAAAAAAAACCTCTGCATCTAGATTCCACATATTTAGGCCTCCCACAGTTTTCTACATCCTCTGCCATAATTCAAGTGTTGTTGAGATGGTTTCATCACATCTTTGATTTTTTTTTTTCCTCTTTCGTTTCAGTTGATTTAGGATCAGAGCCATCAGGTAAAGTCCCAACCTTAAACTTTCACTATAATCCTGCAAGCTTAAAAACAGTGAGGTATTTAGAAGCATCATATTTTCTACCCTTAGTGACTACAGCCTTCTCCAAACTGCATTGCTTTACACTATACTCAAGCAACGCAGCAAGTTTAGCAGTTTAGCAATACTCACGTAAGGAATTTTACATACTACTTGCAAGAGATTTATAGCAGAGACTGAAAGGAAATTATATATAAGAGCAAGAGAAACTGGCACCCATTCTCCAATTTATAAATTCCAGAATGGTAAAACTGAACATCAGTTTCCAGACTAATACCTATTCTCAAATGGTTGTATAATTTTAGTGCAGCTCTGAAATGTTTTAGCAGGAGACAGTGAATTTTACATAACCTTTGACAAGAACAGCAAGACAGACAGGATTTAACAAACACAGGACTCCTCTCCCTTGACCCAAACATCCTTGTCAAAAGATAGCTTTGCAATAAAGAAGCTTCTGCTGTCAACCAAGAGAGAAGAAAGGATGACTGCAGAAAGGGAAGCTTGATTTTAAACTATCAACTATGGGTTAGTCAACAGTGTAAAAGAAAAAAAAATTATCAAGAAGCTGTGCAAAGAAAGAGTAGAGTTGATTTTCTCATGCAAACAGCTCCTTTACTGAAAGACCAATGTATTTGCTTCTCTATGTTAGATGGAAGTCAAAAGCAGACTGGGATGCTAACATTCCCAGCAGAACCTATTACTTGGAAAGGAATTTCTTAAGAAAAGTCTCAATTCAGACATCTGAGAAAGCTTGGAGACTGAACAGAAGATTCTTTACTTTGGTTAAGGGTTTTAAGCATTAGAGAAGTGTGATGTATTGAAGAAAGGTGCAAGTGATTTGACAGTTCCTTTTCCTAACACCATAAACTGAGATAAATTCTTTTGGCATAAGTCTGTATGAACCACATGGCATTATGTGAATGGCACATGTGCTGGCTTGGACTGCAAGTCTAGTTTCACTCAGGAAGAAGGCAAGCGTCTTCCTCACTTCACCACCAATGCCAGCAGTCACACTTAAAGTTTAGGACTTAGTTATGTAAGGTAAGCAGCATTTGACCTTCCTTACCCCAAAAGCAGCTCCTTCTAATCTGAGTTACTTACCATGTTTATCAAAATTAAAGCATACCACTTATTTCATCAAAAGTTACACTGACCTCAATTGACTTTTCAACTAAATGCATATAAACAAAGAATCACGGCACAACGTAAAATGTGAATCACTTGGCGGGGAAATACTTTTCTCTAGACTTTGCATCATTTGAAAGGGGAAAGCAGCATCAAAAACCCACAAGTACAATTTTATGGGGCAGTGAATGAAAGAGGACTAAGGTTAGGAGTTATCTTGCAAGTTAGTAGCCAGAATTACTTTTCACAAAGCAAGAGGCTTATACCCAGCTATAACATTCTTCCCTGCCACAGGGCAGAATGTATCGTTTCTGCAGTTGAGTTTAAATCAAATGCAAGCCAGCTGCATACGAAGTAATGACTGTGTGAAAAGTTCACAGGGATTGCTTTTTTCCACTTGTGACCAGACTCAGAAGTATTCCTTTCTTTCAATACCTTTGTGTAATTCCGATGGAACAAAGTGACAAAGCACAGTACATGCATCCAAGTCTCAATGGCTCAGGAAGTGAAAGGTGTGGCTTAAGCCACGGTTACATTCAGAATTTGCGTTATATACTTTACCGGGGACAATTAAGAGGATATTTCCCCATTAACCAATATGGGAAGCTACTTCCTTGTTCCAAAGGCCTCTTGGATTTCCTCACTAAAAAAAAAAAAAAAAAAAAAAGTATTTTTAACAGACCAGACTACAGAAGTCTTTCTAAAATTTCCTAAAGTTGTGTCTGGCCAATCTATATTCATATGGTTGTTACTAGGAGAACAGGAGAAAACAAACAACAAAATAAAACTTCAGATTCACACATCAAATCAGAAATAAACAAGGAATGAAAAAACAGCAACAAAAACCATCAGAAGATCACCACTTCCAGTCTAAAATCTGGCATTTACAACTCCATTTCTTCTTCTGCACACCCAGGGATCCCCAAACTATCATACAAATTTGGAGACATTGCAGTCTGTTGTGGTTCAGGGAATGAGTCAGTCTGTGGGTGAAAAGCAGCTCCTGGTGTTGACTGCTTAGCTTGACACCCTTCTGTACTCTGCTGCTTGAAGTTCTTAACAGAAACAGACTTCAGTTTATCTGAGAGAAATTCAGGAAGGGGTTTCCAAAGCACCAGCTCCATAGAAGGACGGCTCCTAGAAGGGATGGAGTCTCAGTTTAATTTCAAGTTCTCCAACCACAACTATTAAATGCAGAAGACCAGTCAGTATCTTCATCCTTTATGCTAACCTGGCACTATGTCTCAGAATGCATACACCAGGTTTTTTCCTATTAAATCTCTTCTTCCTTAACTAGTTCCAATACTTCTAGTTCTAACCCTGTATTCAGGAAAATTCTCTTTTCTGTTGCACCAAACTTGATGACTACTGCTGGTCACACTTCAAGACCTTCTTCTTTTGGAAACTCACATACATTAAAAGCAGGGTATGTATGTTCAATCAACGTATTTCACTCTGTACAAACGAGTAGAAAATAAACAGCTTGCTGACCGCTATAGCTGCACTTACTTCTGTTTTACATTAGGATAGCTTTTCCTATTTTTGACCAGATGAATGATGTGTTATACAATGCTGGCTGCATCATGCAATAATAAAGGTCATCTCCACAAATAAAAGAGACCGGGTCTCTCTTTTCATTTGCATGTGTTAGCTACATAGCACCATGATTTCCTCCAGAACTTACATAGATTCTATTATTTTCTTTGTCAGGACTTCACCAAAATCCCTCTTCATCCCTTTTTTAAGGGTATCTGACAGGATAAGAGTGGGCAGATTGCTAATATTTCCATCAGCATGAACTTCCTCATCTTCATCAATTATCCTAGGAATGGAGGGGGAAGAGGGAAATAAACACCTTTGAGCATACTGTTAACAGGCACATCCACTGCAGACTACAGTTTTATATCTACATGCACTGTACTGTACAGTGTAGATATCTGACCTAGGCTGGGTACCAGAAGCAGCGGGGCCATGTTAACATGAGTCTCTCTTGGGCCAATTTAACCTAAGAATGAGGGTACAATATAAGCCACTTGAGCAGCTATGCCACTTCTGGTACCTGAGCTAGCTTTATTATCTCTGCATTGTCCAGCAGTATGCAATGCAGACATACACCAGGAGAAAGAAAACAAATTCACTTCAGGGCAAAGTGTACAATTCCGTCACACTACAAGAACGAATCTCAGTTATGCAGTAGCTTAACCTTCTCAACTCCCCACGTCTTAACCTTGAGAATTACCGAAAAGCTACCGAATATAGTTCTTAAACTTTTTGTGTCATTTTAACCTCAGAGAAATTGATGCAATGTCCTTACAGGGTAAGCATTTAGAACAAGCTTAAGGCCTTTGTTTTTGATAGGCCTTTTAAAGAAAAGTTAACAAGCAGCTGGGAGGCATGCAGAACAATCCTCTGAGAGATCCAAAGCAAACTTTGTAATGTAGATACAGCCAGATGATAAGACAAATATTACCACTCTGATTTGCCCAAAAAATATTAAAATTGTCTAACGGTACCTTGCATCCTTTCCAACATTATCTGTGGAGTAATCACCTAAAATCATCTTCAGTTCTGTAATTTCTATAACTTTTGGCTTTTCTAATAACTGTTTGCAGGGGCCACTTTAGAATATTTTGGAACACTAGCCCAATTGTGATCAACTGATATATACATGACGTTCTCAGAAACCTTTCAAAGGCAGGAGTTGAACGCACAGCACATTTATTAAATGACTGCCCATAAGCCCCATATCAAGCCACCTGACAATTACAAGAGGAACTCCAGTCTTACTGCCTACATGCAGAAAGATCTCTCTGGTTCCTGGTACCCTGAACACTAACAACTTCACATCTATCCCGAGCGTCTAGAAGAATTAATCAGAACAAGCTGCAATTGAGGGAGAAAATGGTGAGCTCAAACCTAACCAGACCACATCAGTTAAAGCCTGAGCTCTAGATACTCACAAAAGAGCATACAAAACCCACTCCAATATCATAATGTTGCATGATAATTTTAAAGAGGTGGTTATTTATTCAGCGTTTCTTGCTCTATAACCCTCAAGTTCAGATCATAGTTATTAATCCGAACAGACATAAGACCGTAGGGAGCCTAAAAAGAAAGCACTCGAACAAAAGGTTCATCTAAAACTGAGAGGTGTTGTCGCACTGCTCAATGCTAATTACCCCGGAATGCCCAGCAAAAAAGGGAAAGCTCAGCAAAGCCCATCTACTCAATCCCTGCATTTACCTGTCCTCAATTTCCTGAAGCTTCCTGCGAGCAACCTCGCATTGCTGCTCCCCCATTGTCTGATCCATTTCTTCACCGGGAATTTCTAACGTGGCAGCTTCAGGACGGCTGCCACCATACTGACTTGCTACCTCCCCAGCTGCCTGCTGACCTGCACAGAGAATCCATTCTTCAGTGTTGGGATTCAAAGGGGAATTTTTGGCTCCTGTCAGTCTCTTCTTCCTCACAGGACAACTAGGAAATAAAACCAATTCACAATTGACAAAAGAGAAACCGTACTGAGAACTGTTTCCTGTATTTTACAGGAACGCATTTCAATAGACTTGACACACTATGGCAATTAAATCTCTTTCTCCAAAAACACGTAAACGTTCCTCTTACTAAAATGTAGGTACCCATGAAAGAAAAATCAATGCCAAGCAATTGATTAGGTAAGTAAAACGGATTTGGGCTTGTATCTGCAGTTCAGGAGAAGAGTTCCAAACAGAAACAACGACAGAGGTTCCTTTCCTACATGTCTTGTAGATGAGATGCACCGAAATCCTTACAGAAAATAAAAAGTAAATTAAGATTTTTCACGCTATAGAAGACAAATTTAATTTACCCTTCTGCCTCTTCTTCTAGTTTATGCTTCTTTCCACAGCGAACAGAGACACTGCAAAAGGAAAGCAAATGGTTATTTGGCTGCTAATTATAACTTCCAGGGACGCTGAGATTTTCAAATAATACTTTTCTCCCTTCAAAAATTTCACCCACAGCTTGAACAATGCTAAGAGCAACTGGCAACACGTCACCAGCTGCGAAGGGAGTAGAAATTCTGAACAATGAATGATCCGTTTTTTTCCAAAGGAAGTCAAACAAGGCTGGAATTACTCAGTTCTCTGAGCTGAATTCCACAGTAAATTCTCTTCCTGCAAGGTATTTGTTTTTTCCACAGTGAGCAAGACTGACTTTTCCTAAAACTCAAATGCTTCAAGAAGCAACACACGATCCAACTTCAGTCTCTAAATACACTGCCTCACACTGACAGACTCAAATTAAACGTGATCAAACATACATACGCTCGTACAAACAGTCTGGGCTCACGTATGAGAGAGAGCAAGTAAAATAGGAGAACTCACAAGCACGTCAAGATCTTGCTCAACATGACCCCGTTTCTTTCCTTTCTAGAAGGCTCCTTCAGCCCCCATCAATAAACTTCAAAGCAACTGAGTTACCACTACAATTGCAATACTGTAAAAGCAGCAGAATGCTAGAAAAGCACAAATTACGGTCTCTTTTGACAAGAAAAAAGTATTTCAGAGCCCTATGACAACCGGGCCGTGTTTCCCTCCTCTGCCCGGGGAGGCCGCTCGTACTTACTGGCTGTGACTGTGCCGCTGGAGTAAGCCCGGGGCGTTTTCCGCGTGCGTGAAGGAACCCACGGGGGCAGCGGTCCCGGCTTCGTGACAGCTTCCAACCGCCGCTAAGGAGGCGAGCTCGAAGCCGCTCCGCAGACTCGCGTCGCTAGAGCCGCAGCCGGGGGGGCCCCCCCCCC